ATGCTGTATGAACAGTGTGACTGGGACTTTAGGGATAAACGCGGGCATCTTCAATTAGCTCTAATCGATTGCTAGGCTACCTCAAAAGATGCGTAATGCAGATTCTTGAGCGAGTTGGTACTGAAACTTCGAGAACATGATAGCGCTTCAAGACAGGGACGAGAGTAGGAACGAGATAACTAACTGCGCTAACTTAAATTAAACAGTTGAAGCTAATTCCCTATAGCTTCGGAGGAAGCTCCTTCGAAACCCACTGGAATGGCGGCGAATGTGAAAGTGGCGCCTCTAGCGGACTCGGAGTCTACGAAAACAGACGACGCAATGGAAAAGTATAGGCTCCGCGATGCCCTCGAGCTTTGCGAGCCCCGTTTCGTCACCCCAACAGCTGAAACAATTCATTACGGTCAGTCCGCTTGCAAAGCAGAATCCACTGGTCGCAACTGCAACGGCAAACAAATAACAAGGCGCGCAGCCGCGGTCTCAAGCGCCACTCAGGGGATCACACTCGTTTGAAGAGCATCTGGAAGCGGAAAAAGAGGCGTTAAGCTGCTCGAACTACGTCGTAAAAGGTTACTGTTGACCCGTTACAAACTGCGTTATCACAGTTTCTTACCTGAATAGGCGATTGTTTTAACGTGCGCAAACAACATGTTAAGATTACCAGAGCAAGCGCAGCAGCCGCTGCAGCAAAAACATTATATAACGAGAGAAATGACCGTGCAAACACTTTCCGAACTTTGCAGGAAAGGATAAGCAAGCAAAAAAATTTCTAAGCTCGGCTGAAAGCTGAAGCTAATTTTTTTTCTTTTCAATATTTTGGCATGTTTACGCTATTGTATTTTGCTCGCTCCACAGACGGCGCCACGACGAAACTATAATAATAAAAACGACAAAACTATAATAATAAAAAACAGCTTTACTATTTATTTTAGCTGCTTGCTACACGTTTGCTTGTTTGCTTTCGCTGCGTTAGTAGGACCTAAAAACAAACCAGAGGAAAGGAATAACGTAGTCCCAGCTCACTCTGCCCGGTAAATAGGAGCCGCACGCTGCAATTTGGTACGTCAAAGGAGTGTGAAATCTTTTTTTTTTTTCGCATTTTTTCTCTCAGTGAATTTGGCAGGTTTTTTGTTTGCTCGCTTGACGAAGCAGTTCAAAATACATAAAGTACTTGTTGACGTACGTGTCCAGGCAAGCTTTGCACACCGTGCCTTTGTTTCGAGTGTCGATCAGCGGCCTCAAGACCGCCTTCAGCTGAACTCTTGTCTGGTGCGATACATCAGTGAAATGTGTGACGAAGGCACGGCTGATGTTACCGGCTATGTGACTAGCTAAGTAGGAAGGTGGTGTCATTTTCGCATACGAATAGTTCTTGCTCTTCAACAGAATGTCTTTCTTCGAGGTGTTCCATGTTTCTGATTGCGGTTGGACTTGGCAAGCATGATGACAGATATGATTAGCTGCCCACCCGGCTCCGGACTGGGTGTTCAGTTGTGCATCTGGACTGTTGTCGGTGAAGCTTTCCGCAATATCCGTGGAGTTGTCATAATCATCTGTTGAGGCGTCAGTGGAGATTTTGAAGCCAGACTTGGATAGCTCTTCCAGCTTATTTTGAATGCTGCAGTAACTTAATTTTTCACGTTTGTTCGGTCTTTGGGAAACGGAAGAAGGATTTTCCACCACATCGCAAAAACTTGTTTTTGCAGTGGTAGGCAGCACATGGTGTATGCCCGAAGGCGGCCGGTTGGTCAACAAACGATGACCCACAGCAGATATGCCCGCGTACACAAATCAAATCCAAATAGAAAGGTATACCGAGCTTACACGCTTTTAATATATTTAATAACTATCAAAAAGCTTATATGAATATTTCGGATTAAAATCTCAATCGAAGGCTGAAATAGGAGGTTATCGCAGACGACAGTGGTAGAAAACAAAAAACAACAACAAAGTTGCAGACGGCCCTCAGTCCGAGAATAGCGTAGCACACGAGCAGACGAACCGGCGGTAGTAAGCGCCGAAGTGAAAGAAAGGGAATAAAAACTAGCCAAACAACCCAAAGCAAAATACGCGATGATTCCAACGTCAAGAAAGCAAAAAAAAGAAAGAAAAAAAGCAACAAAGCACAGCATAAAACCAGGAAAAGAGACCGCTCCGGCGTAGCGCCGCCTCAAGCATAAAAAAGAGAGTGGAATTTGAAAAATGGAAGGAGCCGCAAACGGTCCGACGGGTGCCGGCTTTTATAAAAGACGCAGAAAACGTTAGTTGTCCCGGCGCTAACAATCGGAATTTGTGCATCGTATATAATGGAACCAGAATCACCTTTATTTGCGCTACAACGCTCTCCTCTTGTTTTTTTTTTTCTTTTGCACGCGGGAGAAGTCAGCTTTTTCTCTAACTCCGCTTTTATTAATTTCAGTAATACCGTCAAATTCGCAGGTGCACAATCGACTTCTTTCAGAGAATACTGACATCGCAGTAACGTACGTGGTTTGAAATTGCCTTTTGCTTCTTCATCCGCAGACGATCTTAACAGGAATTAGCCAGCTCGCCTATTCGACAAAACGGTTATAAACAAGACATCCATAAGAAATGGGAATTGCAACAAGAAAACGAATTGATTGATAAGAACAGTAAAGTTGAAACGCAGCAATGTTCAGAAATTTTGTACAGTGCCCTTCATCTAAAAACAGCGCGAAGGTACGTTCGTGTTTCTCTTGGCTTGCATAAGTTGTGACAGGGTGTTTTCGTCACGAGAGCCCTAAAACTGCACCCAGAAAGGTCTAACATATTTCCCACGCGAAAATGTTTTTCAGTATAATGTTACACCTATCTTTTAACAATCAAGGCAGTGAGCACCCGGGACAATATTTTTTTTCATTTGTCACCTCGCACGGAGATAGGCAAAACCAATGCGTTGTGAAGAATTCATCTGCTAGGCGGAGACTCCGAGCTTGCCAGGGGCGTTGCGATCACTTTTCGCCAGTTGCCAGTATTGGTATTTGGTTGAAGCTTACATGGAATTTGGTAGAAGTTAGCGCAGTATGTTGTCTCGTTCCTACTCTCATCCCTGCCTTGAAGCGCCATCATGTTCTCAAAGTATCTCAAAATAAGCTTTTTTCCTCTAACTACCGCGTCTCTAAAGCTTCTTTTATACGAAAACATTTAGTTCGCTCTACTCTGGAATATGCGGCCTTTATCTGGGACCCCGGTGTCACCCTTGTACCTGCCATTGAGTGCATTCAAAATCGTTCCGCTCGTTTAATTCTTTCAAACTATCATCGCACAGCCAGCGTCACCTCTATAAAAGCATCACTGTCCTGACCTAACCTCTGTTTTCGTAGAAATTTATATCGTTGAATCATCCCTAAAACCCAAAAGGTTGTGTGTGTGTTTTTGTGTAAAACGATTGAAGTTGTAGGCATGGACACGCAAACAAATACCACAACGCGAAAAAAAAAAACGTTTTCCACGCGCGCGCGCCTTTTTACCTTTTGCGTTTTTCTCTCCCTCTACTCACCTCCTCGCTTCTTTTTTTATTTCTGACGTAATCTATTACGAAATTTAGAATCTTTCTAGGCGACATTCCTATATTATTCAATAACGGCATTCGTAAAACATGTTTTTAACGTTATTGCGAACGTCCTACGGACCTTCTTTTTGAAATACCGAAAATTGGAGTCCGGAGTGATGTCGCCTCCTGGTTTTTACAGCGGAACTTTATAAGGGCTAGTTTCCCCAGGATCGTGTCCCCCGCAAAAAAATTACGACACCAAACTCTGGACACCCACCGCCATCTATGAGCGACAGCGGAAAGCCACGTATCTAGTTGCCGCCGTCGCTCATAGATGGCGGCAGCCTTTCCACTCCGGCTTGCCAACTTATGGCCGGCCATTACTTTCCATTGGGCAGCTCCGCTGGTGTTCCTTCTTCACCACAATAGAAAGAATTTTTTTTTATCTTTTTTTGGAAAACATGGCGGCGCTCGACACATGGAGCACTGAGGAGGATCGGTGAGTCGGGGAATCTGACGAAGCTACCTTTTTTAGGTGCCGGACGACCTCTCAGACTACGAAAAGGAAGTCTTCAAACGGTCAAAAGAACTGGGTTTTGTGTCTGTATACCGTAGTTTCGGTTGTGCAACAGCCAACCGGCGCGACGTGGCCCCTCACGTCGCTCACAAAAGTCCACTGCGCGTTTTCTTCGCCCTCACACCATTTCGAAAATTTTGAGGTTGCTCGAAGGTACCTAAAAGAACATCAAACTCGAAAGTGGAGCGTCGTCTGCTCACAGCGATACGCGGTACGCAGGGAGAAGAGCGGTTGATTGCGGGACGCGGGCGAACACGACACTTCGGTTCGGGATGGTCCGGAGTCATAAAAAAAACTCTAGTTCGAGAACGACTCAATCTTTGACGTCACTGCACTGGCGCAGATCGCGCAAGAAATTCAAAATCGCCTTTTGATTTTTTTTTTTTTACTTCACAAATTTTGAATTTTTAAGTTTCGAATTTTCAGGGTAATGCCCAATCATCGTTTTCAATCGTTTCAGATAATAAAACAAATATGATTTAGACCTGTCAGTGTCCCTTTATGTCTTTTTCACAAGAATTCTTACTGTAATTCCTCACTTCATGAAACTTTATTTATATAAACACCTCGCATATCTTCAGGAACCAGTCACCAGTTAAAGGCTGCCGCCGCTGTGACACCTCCTCATTTAATGCCCATTCTGTTCACCGAGCCTCAGTAGACTGAAATCGCTTTGCCGAGCCCATAGCCTCAACAACTGATGTTGGTGATCTTAAAATTGCGATTACTCATTTTCTTATTGTTCCTTAGCCATTGTTCCTATTTTTGCATTGTTTGTTGTTAAACTCATATTTTTTGTGTTAAAACTCACTCTTTGTAATGTCTTCGGGCCCTGAGAAAAATAAATGAACTGAAATAAAATGAAATAAAATGAGGCGTGCACTGTGACGCCGAAAGGTTTACACTTACCTACACCGCGTCCAAATTTCACCAGTAACAGCAAACTAAAGTCGGCGTCAGCGAACTTATACCACACAAAAAACAGAACGAGAAGAGCTCCAACGAAATACAGCACAGTGCAAATATCCATATCTGTGGTATGTCAACAGACAAGCGGTGAATAGATGACAGTCAACGTGGCTGTTTTGCTTTGCACACAAATGCCCCTGCAATTTTACCCCGATGTTGGCTTCGGTCGATTGAAAATGATGACGTAGTTGGATTGAAACGGGTGGCGGATTTTATATATGATCTCTGCGTTGAAAGAGCGTTTCACGACTTACGACCTTTAAAAAGAACAGACGGTAAAAAGGTTGGACAACCTTTTACCGTCAAAAGCTAAAAGGACAAACGAAAAGCATGCTTTGTCGTCCGGCCCATACTAACAGAATAACTAGTTTTGAGCCTAATTCCAGACGCAGCCGACGCTACGAGCTAATAAGACCAATCAAACAGCATCAAAAGAGCAAGTCACTCAGCCTTTTGTATATTATTGCTTCAGCGATGATAGCCATGATGGCGCGCTTTTGACGATGTCTCAGTGGTTCCGTCAGCTCGTATCGTCGACTGAGTCTGAGCTTAAGGTGAAACGAAGTAGAAAGTATATTTTACAAAGACAAATGCGCCAACTCAGCGCTATGCATGGTTTGCACTGACAGCTGTCATAGGTTCGTGATGTTGGAAAGAAATGCCAGAAGACACGAGCATGCGTTATGGGATAATTCACATTGCACTGTAGAAATATGGAAAGAGAATATTTACACAACTATTTACACCACTTCAACAAATGTTAAGGTTCGAGTGTCCCCTGAAAAGTCCCTCGCTCACGACTTTTCAGTCCTTGCGGCATAGCGCCAGTGGCAGCCGGTGATCAGGGGTCTACCGACGTCAGGGCCAAGGGACGTATTGACGAGGCAGTTGATCGATGGCCGAAGGCTTGAATCAGGCCCAGTACGTCTGTGGCACGAAGCGGCAGCGGGTGTTCAACTGCGCCACGCATGCAGTCTTGTCTACTTTTGGAATGTTGGCGCCCGGACTGCGGGAGAAGCGGGTTGTGGGTCGGGCCTCTTGACGTCTGGTCGCGCCGACCGAGGTCCGGCCGGGTCGCGTCTGCTCCGTCCTTTGTCAACCGCCAGAATCCTCTCTCGCGCTCCTCGCATGCTTCCCCCCTCCCCCCCCCCCACCCCCCCCCCCCCGTCTTCTTCTTCCTCGTCCTCTTTGGCTTGTCGCGGAATCGCTCATCACAGAGCTCATTGGTGGCCTTGTGGTGACCCTGCTGTTGAGCACGTATATCTTCTGCAGCACAAGGTTTGCGTTACGTAGATTTAAATGCGCCGAAGTTTCCATTTTTGTCCGGTACCATGGCGAGGTGTCGTTGCGTACCGCAGATGCGGTTCTACTCTTCACAGACACAAAACATGCGCAAGTCGACCCAAGGGACATCGGTGATACCTGTGCAAGTCCATACCAAGGTGAAGGGTGTGCCTGTGCTAGTTGAAAAGGTGCATTTCTCTCCTCAGTCATGTCAGGACAAAGATAAGACATTTTTGACCACTAGATTTGAAGGAAGGGGAGAGGAATTCTATAAGTGTATCAAGGAAAAATTTTCTTCAGCTGCTGGTCTATACCTCGATTGGGTGAACGGGCCGATCATCGTTATAGGGAATTTTAATCTCAACGTCAGGAGATGTGCAAAGGCATGGTTTGTGAACTTCATGCGCGAAACATTTGAACTTGAGGTGGTAAATGGTGTGCAAAAACTGCGGACGCAGCACTGTACGAACATGAATCGCCGTTGCCTCACTAGCTCAAACTGAATGTACTAGGGTATGGTGCCCACTAAATCGTTCATCGCCTAATGACTTGTTGCTGCAGATTCCGAAGACGCAGGAGAAGACGGTGTGAGAAAAGTGGGCGGCAGCAAGTAAATAAAGTTGCAAGTGAATTTCAGAATTGATACTCGGTAATTGACTTCCTGTTTTTCTCATCGAATGCGGCATGCGGCGTGATGTTGCCATGATGGCGTTAAATATTTAGAAGTTGCATTAGCAAAGAGACAAAATCAGTAAAGAAACAATTATTCATATACAGATTTATAAAGTGTGCGCTATTTTGGGAGCTGTGAGATCCCTGCACAATGGCGGATACGCGGATACATAAGACACTGCCAAAAATATAGAACACTGAGATCATTCGATTTCCTGCACCTCATGCACCAGCCGCATTCGGTGCAACATGCTATATTCGATTTACGAGGGCAGCCTATCTTAAAACACGACCGAAAATACGTTTCTCTGCCCTTTTCTGCACCGCGCTAAACTTTTCTGCGCCGGTGCCGGCTGGTGTAGATAAATCGAATAAGCCCACTATACACGCTTTTCAGCAGATGTGCTTAGGCGCTGCCATAACTGACCTTCCATTTTTATTTCCTTTAACTTGTTTCGCTTTATTTCATTGCTGTGGTCGCGTGACAGGCTATCCACCTTTCAGATACCGCAGTGTTCTCCCAAGCACAGGCTTGGTGTAAATAACATTTTACGCAAATCAGTGGTTCGTCATAGTTCGGTAAAACAACAGATGGCCAGTTATGACTAGGGCTTGATGTTTCGGTAAGTACCGATGAACCGCAAAAATTAACTCGCAATACAGTTTTATCGGAATCGGGAAAAAACGAGAAAAAAAAAACATTTAAAGTTGCCCTGAAAGATTAAAAAACAAGCTTCTCGGAAACGAAATTCATTGAGAGTACCGTCATTTTCTGTTGACCCAGAACATGCACCCAATAGACCGATGTCACCAAGCGAACTGCGCAGGCGCGCGCATTCCGGAAGTGGTGCCGCCGCCATGCTACTTGTAGTCATCCCTTCCTGGCTTCCCGGCTACATACGGCTGCGCGTACGTACATCATCATAGATTATCATTTGGCACGCCCCGGTATCACCTTGATTCTCTTGCATGTTTTTACTTCATAAGATTGTGTTGTTTGCGATGCCTTACTTTCCTCAGCAAGTGGGGAAAAGCAGTTTCAGTCGTCTTATCGCTTTAAATCGCTTTGTTGTCTGCTTCGTCGTCGTCTGCTTCTTCGTTTTCGTGAACGCGTGAGCTGACTGCGGTTCAGGGGGTAATCCCGCTGCGACCGCGGAAAAAAACAAAACAAAACAAAAAAACTACTCGAGCATTCCGAGTCCTCGGACGTCTCAATTACCTTGCAAACAAGTGAACATCTAGTGCAATAGCAAAGAACAAGAAAATTCGAGGGACCATCGGCTCGGTGAAGCACCACGGAACAGCATCAAATGTGATGAAAAACTGAGCTTGGTGGTGCTGAGTCTTGTGCATAACGTTTAATCAGCCATCAAGTAAGAGGAGCTAAATAGACTTTCTCGGTCAGGGATAGTTTTCTAAAAGTTGTTTCATTCTGGTTGACAGCCTGTGCGACAGAGTACAAATGAACAGCGGGAGAAGCCTGCACACAAAGAACTGATCTACAGAAAGGCCATGCCTGACGGGCCGTAATAATTGGCATCTATCAAAAAAAAAAGCAACCATGCCAGATACCTGAAAGCTTGGGGTGGAGATGATTTTTCGTGCACAGTTTCTATTCAGTTTAATTTTGTTTGCGCAAGATCCGAACGCTAACAGTCGCCCGACGGAGGAAGCTTTTTTCTGCGGTCTCGACTGGTGCTAGTGCAGAATGAACCAGTAACACCAGCCTAATAGACCACCACAAAATGGATGAGGTTCGTTTGTTACATTTTTGGCGGTAAGTACGTGTCGCAATTCTAAATTGCATTATGTAATCTTTTCGCGTTGGTATGAAAAAAAAAATGAAGGCTGCTTCCGAAAAAAAGTTGTTTTATATCAAATGGTGCATATCGGGAATCGCTGGTCTTTTTTAGTGATTGTCCTGATCTTTTGAAGCACAGTTGTGCTTGAAATATGTCGTCGCAATAACAGTTATAACCACCAAAATACACCGAGTAAGAAGTGTTTTAAAAACGGCCTCCGTAAAGCAGTGCGGAGGTCCTATTTGAGATAGACCAATGAATAGGCCGCTACGGAGCAAATGTTCAGAGAGATTCCAGCTCACGGAACAGTTCGGCACGCTCTATGTCTCGTGCCCTGTAATCTTACATATTTTAGCTGACGTACAATAACTGGATATAAATTACGAAGCAAATTGCGAAAGAAATTGTAAAACGCTATTTTTCCTGCCGCTCTGTCCGGCTCTGCCGCTCTGTCCGGCTCTGCCGCTCTGTCCGGGAAGACATAATATCCGAGGCCTTTTTGCCTGGTGCTGTTATTATAGCTCCGTGGCGTACACCATGTGAAGCCACCGATTGAAAACCATGAGTAAACACCTGGCTAAAAGTCTCGTGCTAACCCGAAAATTTCCAAACGCCCGGCGTACAATGCGCGCCGACGCGGCCGGAAAACTGGGGAGAACTACAGGTACCAGAATGCACCGCGGTAGCGGTGGCGTCGCGCAACTCCTCGTGAGATCGGTCTATTAGCTGTCCGCGAGGCTGCTTCTTGCTGCGGAGCCACACACCTTACCTGGTTTTTTTTCTTGCCGATAGGGGTTCGTTTTCCAATTACTCTGGTTACGCGTACATTCCCTCGAGATTGTGGTATCCCATGCCTGTGTTTTATTTTCTTTAACACAAGGCACGATAAACCCCAATTTGCCGTAACAAAGAAACAAATTCTACCAAAGAGCACCGATTTCATGCAAACAAAATAAATAAAGGCCCCCAAAAACACAGCCCCGAACTTGGAGAAAAGTCAACTACGTAAACACGGAACCCTAGTTATGGCGTCTCAAATCTGGCGCGAGGGAAAAGATGTCTATAAATATTACTAATTCGACTTCGCATCCATAATACGTTGTAAAACGTACTTGCGAACTTTCCGCGGTGTTCGTTTTTTTGCCATTTTGCAGTGTTTCGAAACTTCTTAACAATCAATATGTAAATTTCGGAAAGGGTCATCTATTGAGAATGAGGTCATTTCATTCTTATTTACCAGCTATAAAGTTTGCCTCAATTTAATCAGCATAATATAGAATTCCTAGAAAAAATATCGAAATAC